GAATCGTATTAAGCAATTCAATGCTGGCTGTTAAATGTTACTCGACTGAGTAACAGGGTCAGGGTTCATGGCATGACACCATGAACAGGAAACGCTTTTAAAAAAACCTAACCTGAAGACCCATACTTTCAACTAGAATTACATGATTTAGGACCAAAATTTCCTCGGTGTTTCATTGCTTCCTGCAGTTTTTGGTGTGCTGATCAAAAAAATGACTTCCAATTTCATCCCAGCCCTTTTACTTTTCCAAATATTTACCAATTTTGGACCAAAATTTTTGCATCGAGTTTTACATAGTTTCCTGCAGTTTTGGTGTGCTGATCACGAAAATGACTTCCAATTTCATCTCAGACCTTTATTTTTCCCAAAATTTTACCAATTTTGGCCCAAAAATTTTTTGCATCGAGTTTTACATAGTTTCCTGCATTTTTGGTGTGCTGATCACGAAAATGACTTCCAATTTCATCTCAGACCTTTATTTTTCCAAAATATTTCCCAAATTTTCGGACCAAAATTTTTACATCGAGTTTTACATAGTTTCCTGCAGTTTTTGGTGTGCTGATCACGAAAATGATTTCCCAAATTTTCATCTCAGACCTTTACTTTTCCAAATATTTACCAATTTCCGACCAAATTTTTCACATCGAGTTTTACATAGTTTCCTGCATTTTTTGGTGTGCTGATCACGAAAATGACTTCCAATTTCATCCCAGACCTTTCTTTCCCCAAAATTTCCCAAATTTTGTGACCAAATTTTTAAAATTGAGTTTCACATTGACCCTGTATTGGCCTTACTTTGCATATATTCTTCACCATCTTCTACAAGAATACAGACGCATCGCTCGCCTACTACGCGCCCAAACAAAACGGCGCGTACCCCTAGTTAATGTGTTTATAGTCCCAGTTGATTTCCTCTGATTGGATCGGGTCGCGAATCGAACCGCAATCGAACTGGAGCACACGCGTGAAGCACGCAGCGCCCTGCAGCGGCGCGCCGGGGAACCACCTGGCGTCGAGGACCAGGGACTCGAGGACCAGGGACTTGAGGACCGCGAGCAGCAAGGGCTTGCCAATGCCCGAAGCCCAGTGGGCCAGAAGACCGGTGGAGGTGGCCAAAATTCTAGACGCGCTTTGAGCTCCAAAGTCACTAAACGGGACTCGAATCAAACGTGTGACCCCATCAATGGATTTCTCTCTGAACGAGGAAACCATTGGTGGGGTCACACGTTCGGCTCGGGTCTCATTTAGCGACTCTGGAGCTCAAAACGCGTCTGGAGTTTCGGCCGTCTCCGCCGGTCTTCTGGCGAATCCACTGTGGGACAGGGCCGCACAGGGCTGAGGGAGCGCCTCCGCGCCGATGGAGGCGTCTGGCGTGGCTGGCCTGGCCGGCTCCCTCAGCAGCCGTGTCAATCCTGGAAGTAATGAGAAGCCCAACGCCTGGGCGCGCCTTGCCGCGCCTCGCCCAGCCGGGACTGGCTACCCCAGCCCGCAATTAGCCAATCCAGAAGCCGCACCGTCCCGGCGGCGTGGCGGTCAGGCTCACCGCGCTCACAAACAAAGGGGCCGGGCCTAAAGCACGTCGCCACGCCCCGCCCCGCTTCCCCCGCCCCCCCGCCCCCCCCGCCCCGCCCTGCCCCGCCCTGCCCCGCCCTGCCCCGCCCCGCCCCCCCCGCCCCGCCCCGCCCTGCCCCCCCCTGCCCCCCCCCCCCCGCCCCGCCCCGCCCCGCCCCGCCCCGCCCCTGCGCCCCCCCCGGCGCCTTTTGACATGTGGATCCTCTGGACCGACGTGGGCTGGACGGGGACTGGACGCGGACGTGTGTCGGCCGGCCCGAGATAACTGGCCAGCTCGCCGGCTCCCCGACTTGGGCCCCTCCTTGACCTGCCCCGGCCCTGGGCCGCCCTCGGCACCGACTTGGGACGACTGGAACCACTGGAAGGAACCCTGGACGATGCCATGATGTCTTTGTCCAGTCATCATCCCTGACATGTCGGCGCGGTCCTCTGTCACTGTGCCTGCCGCGGCGTGTGTGTGTGTTCGTGTGTGTGTGTTGTGTGTGTCCATCGCCCTGGAAATGGAGCGGTTTTGATTGACGCTATCCGCGGCATCTTGAGTGGCCATGCCTTAATCCGCGTTTCTCGCGCCGCGAAACGGCCGAAACGGCCCCGTCGCACTGTAAAGGAGGCTGCTGCAAGGGATAGACCGAGGGATAGACGGCCGATCCGGCCGGGGAGGATAGAAAATAGAAAGGATTGAAGGCGGGCGTCCGTCCGGTCCGGCTTGCCTCTGCTTGCCGGCTTGCCGGTAGCGAGACGCGAGGGGTCGCGCGCTCGGAAAGTTATTCAAATGGGCGAGGCTTAGGCTCGCCCTGATGGGCCGGATTAGGGATGGCCCTGTGGCCCTGTGGCCCATCCTGTGGTCCATCCTACGGCCCACGGCCATCCGCGCTCTGATCTCGATTCTCGTCTCGATGCCTCGTCCTCCCAATCAGACACTTAATCGATTTTCGCTGCCGGGCGGGGCGGGGCGGCCGGACCCACTCTGGTCGCGTCCTGGTGGCTCTGGGCCCCCGGCCCGAGCCGGGGTGTGCGGCGGAGCCAAACGAATAAAAAGAAACTCTTTTCGTGAAAAAATATACAAAGCTTTCCTGGGAAAGCTTCTCTTTTTGGGTCCCCGCTGGGAGCCGGGAGCCACTGACTCTGCAGACTGATTAGGAGAGTCGCTGTGCCTCTCTCGCACTCACGGGGCAGCCCGAACAGGTGCGAGAGAGACAGAGCGACCAAGACGACTCTCGGAATCAGTCTACTGGCCGGGCACAAGTTCGGGGCCCAGCAGGACACACCGGTCACACCACCCTGCTATCTGTCGTCCCGCGCAGTCCCGCGCAGGACGGAGCCAAAAGGATTGGTGGATAAAAACGGCGCGAGGGGAAGGGGAGGGCAGGGGGTCACCGGTTTAATTAGGCTACCGGGCTCATTAGCAACCTGCCCACATTCCGGCAACCGCCGGGAAAGCCTGCCGACACCGTCAGAGACACTCAGGCGGACACACACACACACTCACTGGGGAGAGAGAGAGAGAGAGAGAGAGAGAGAGGGAGAGGGAGAGGGAGAGGGAGGGAGAGTTTTTTTAGTTTTTACAAGTATTTATTGGAGAGAGAGAGAGAGAGAGAGAGAGAGAGAGAGAGAGAGAGAGAGAGAGAGAGAGAGAGAGAGAGACAGAGAGAGAGAGAGAGAGGCGGCCTGTCGCCCTAAGGGCTGGCCGCTGCCCTTCCTGCCCCGCCCTTGACGCTGCCCTGCGCCGCGGGCGTAGGGCGGGGCGGGGTACCCCAACTGGCGGGTTCCACAGCGCACGGCCGCGCCCCGCGTCGCCCCCCGGCGCCCCGCGGCCACCGGGCGGGTACTACACTACACGCGGGGCCGTGGGTCGCGCGCGCCGCTGCTGCTATATACACTGCAGTGTACGTGAGCCGGAGCAAGCCGCCCGCCCCGGCCGGCCCGGTCCACTGAAACGATCTGGAAGGAAAGGGGCCTGGCCGAGCCGGGGGCACAGTGTGGGGCACAGTGTGGGGCACAGCGTCGAGTAATTTACCGACGGTTTTCCGTACTGTGGGTACAAAGTGTTTGGCGCGTTGGGGAGGTGGCCCGACTCCACAGACTCCGCGCAGACTCCGCACAGACTCCGCACAGACTCCGCGCAGACTCCGCGCAGACTCCGCGCAGACTCCGCGCAGACTCCGCACAGACTCCGCACAGACTCCGCACAGACTCCGCGCAGACTCCGCACAGACTCCGCACAGACTCCGCACAGACTCCGCGCAGACTCCGCGCAGACTCCGCACAGACTCCGCACAGACTCCGCACAGACTCCGCACAGACTCCGCACAGACTCCGCACAGACTCCGCACAGACTCCGCACAGACTCCGCACAGACTCCGCGCAGACTCCGCGCAGACTCCGCACAGACTCCGCACAGACTCCGCACAGACTCCGCGCACAGACTCCGCGCAGACTCCGCGCAGTCTGCGCAGGCTCTACACAGACTCCACAGACTCCCCCCGCTCGCTGCAGCCGTTGCACTTGTCGCCAAAGTGGGGCGCTTGGGAGGGGGCAAAAACTCGGGATTTTCGTGTACACATGATTCGGAAAACGCAATGATTGCGCATGGTTTTAATTGATTTCATGGCTGATTTTGCCTTATTTCGCGACGCACCAGGGTGATGTTGAGCGTGATTGCGTGTGATTGTGTTCGGAAAGAAATGATTTCGGACTGATTTGGCCTGGTTTCGTGTGATTCTGCCTAATTTCGGTCGATTTTAGTGATTTTGGCTGATTTCGGATTGCTTGATTTCGCGTGATTCTCAATGATTCGGGTGTGATTTCGGGGGCCGTGTACACATGATTGCGCGAGTTTTTGCCCCCTCGGGCGCTTGGCGTCGCTCGCCGGTCGCGCCGGACACACTCTGGACACCCGAAAGGCCGAAAGGCACACCCGGTGGGGCCCACAGGGAGAAAAGGGAGAGGGGGGGGGCTCACTGCTGCTGCAGCTGCATTGACGCGACAACGAGGTCAATCGCCTTGGAGCGAGGAGGATGGAGAAGGCCCCCTCCTGCACGCTGCCGCCTGCCGCCGCCTGCAGGCTGCTTCCGGACAGCGCGACGGAGCGCTGTCTCTGTCGCACCCACGCGACGCGACGCCCCGTGCGTGGTGCAGCGCGGTTCGGATGCCCATGCTGCTGCGGGCGGTTGGTTGGGCCCTCCAGCCCGGCCCCTCCGGCCTGGCCTCCCGTCACCCCGGGCACTGCCCCCCCCCCCCACACACACACACGAAGGGGAAAGAGAGCGACTCCTGATCGTGTGTGTTTTCGTTGGTCCTTTTTGCCGTACACTTTCAGTTTCGTCGCGTTTTGGCGCGTCGAGTTTTTGGCGTCGGTGGTTTGCGCGTCTTGTGCACACATTGCCCTTTTTCTCTGACCCGGGTTGTTTTGCTTTGCTTTGTTGCAGACCTGGTTTTTCACGGATACGGAGGACCCCGAATTTCAGAAGAAGACGAGTGAGTATCATCCTTTCGATTCGTTCCTCAATTAAATCGTGTCATTTTGGAGGCGCGTGCTCGCTCTGTCTCTCTCGCACCCATGCGGCACGCGCGATGAGCGCAAGAGAGACAGAGCGAGGAAAACGACTCTCAGTGTGCAGGAACTGGCCGGATGCCATTAGGTGTCCCCTGAGAGGTATCCGTGTTCATTAGGGACTGGCGTGCTTTGAGATATGGGATGGGGTAGGTCTCACCTGGTTCACTGGAGTCGCGCCCCACGCGCCTCCAGCGAGTAGAGTACACGCACACTGGAAAAGAGAGAGAAAAGCAAAAGAAAAAAAAGTGTCTCTGGTTTGCTATAAAAAAAGAAAGAAAAAGAAGACACTTTGAGGACATGTGGTGTGTAATCAGCTCAAAGAATTTTTCGGGCAGATCACCCTGTTTATTTGGTCCGCGTTTTTGTCTATTTTTCTTGCTAAATAATGGTTGATTTCGAAGATTTGGCCCGCGTTTTTGTCTATCTTTCTTGCTAAATAATGGTTGATTCTTGCAGACGGCCACATGATCAACACCAACTGCTCGTCGTCGCACGGCCGGAGGGCGCTCTGCTGCAAGCTGTCGGTGGAGCTGGACACGTTTCTGGACAGCGACAAGAAGTGAGTACCACACTGCTATTTTTGAAAGTGGCGGTTCTCCTCCTCTTTTCGTCTCTTTTTTTTTCGGACCGCCGCGGAGGCGGGTGCGAGGTATTGTACTTTCCAAGGGCGGCGCGGCGTTCGACTTTGGGAAGAAAAGAAACGAAAAATGAGCGGTTCGAGATCTCGAACCGCCCCGTCCGGAGACAAAGGTCCAATCAAAGGCAAAGCGACGCGTCAGCGCGCGGGATTGGAGTAATGAAGGGCCGGCCGCGGCGCCAAAGAGAGGCAAACAATAGAGAGGCAAACGATAGAGAGGCCCATGAAGAGGCAAACGATAGAGAGGCCCATGGAGAGGCAAACGATAGAGAGGCCCGTGAAGAGAACCATTTTACAGAGACCCGGCACCCACTCAAAGGGCAATTTTTGTAGTGTTTCACGCTGGTGTGAGGTAGAGAGGCGCGTTAGAGAGGCCGGTCTCTCTGAATTGGCGCCAAAGAGGCGGGGCCTTCCAAGCCGGACGTCAGGCTCTCCAGGGACTTACGGACCCTTGTCTTGTTAGGAACGAAAAATCCGGCGGTCCGCCGATGCGGAAGGCTCTGTCTCTCTCCCTCTTTCTGGCGTTCGGGCCGCTCGGGCCGCTCGGGCCGTCGCCTCGCGTTCAGCCAGACGCGTGTCTCGGAGTGGATCAGGGATTAGCCCGGCCCTCGGCCCGGCCCGTGGGTCAGCTGCGAAGCTGCGAAGCACGGCGAGTCCAGCGCGGCGTCACCAGGGATTTAGAAAGAGATGCAAAAGGTGCGACTTTGCGGTTTTGCGGAGTAGCCGGCGTCGTCCTCCCCAGGGCTGCCAACTGAAAATGGCCCAGTCGGCGGGCAGTGCCGGGCGCATGCGCGCCGCTGGCACGACTGTTTTGACAGAGTAAAGCCAAGCACATCGTAGGGCTGTGCTCCGTCAAGTTTTTTCCGTGCCCCTTTTTCTTCCTCACTTCCAAGCGGCAGCGCCGGGCAGCGCCGTGACTGATGGCATTAGTGTAACGCGACAGATTTTCATTCTGTTTGCGTTGCGCCGCGGGTCGGCCCCGCGGGGCCTGCGAGCGAGCTTGATGATTCCGTCTCTCTCGCACTCGCGGGGCGTCCCGGCCGGTCCCGGCTGGGGGTGCGAGAGAGACGGAGCGACACGGCTGGGCATCAGGCGCGGTGGCGGTAGCGTGTCCAGAGTTATGACGGCCCGTCCATCTCCGGCCGCTGGAGGGAGACTCCAGGAGGGACTCCAGGAGGGACTCCAGGAGGGACTCCAGGCCGCTGCTCTGGAACCGCCCTGGAGTCCATCGCCGGTTTGTGTGTAAATGCGTTGCGAATTTGCACGCCGTGTTTCTCGGTGTGTGTGTGTGTGTGTGTGTGTGTGTGTTCGCCCTGTATGTATATCAGTCCAGTCACACACACACACACACACACACACGCAGTGGCGCGTGAAAGAATAATACACACATACGTACGCTACGCACACGCAAAGTTTGAGATGATTATCGGCCCTGCCGCTGTGAAAATAAAAAGAGAGAGAGAGAGAAGCGCACACACTTTTTATCGGTGTTTTTTTTTGTTTTCGTGTGTGTATTGTTTTTGTTGTTTGGGCTAGTTGTCGTCGTGTCGCGTGTTGGCGGTCCGTGGCGATAGACGGTAGTGGCGGGCGTGGGACTTGGAGGCGCGCAGCACCGCCGCACCGCGAGCCCTGCCATGAGTCTGGCGCGCACATGTCACCGCGAGGAGAGAGAGAGAGAGAGAGAGAGAGAGAGAGAGAGAGAGAGAGAGAGAGAGAGAGGGGGGGGGGGTCCCTCCCCCCTCACGCTGCTGCATGGGAGTCAAGTGAGTCACCGACCGCAAACTTGCAGTGCTGCAGCTCCATCCCGAACAGTGTCTCTGTCGCACTCACTGAGCGTTCCCTATGCGGGTGCGAGAGAGACCGACTCATTCGGGACCGACGCTGCGGACCTGCGGCGGTCGCCGCCGTGACCCGTGACGCGGCCAGCGCGGCCGAGGAGCAGGACGAGTGCCCCATCCTGCCGCCCTGCCGCCGATTGGTGTTGTTGTTGTTGTTTTTTCGGGGGTCTGCGCTCCGCGGCGGCGGCGCCCCGGTTCCCACGGGCGGCACCGCAGCACCACGGCGGGTCAAGCCGGCCGGGCGTCGCCGCGTCGCCGCGTCCGGCACCTGCTGCATCGTGCTCCCTCTCTCTCGCACCCCAAGGGGAGTCCAAGGGGCCTTACGGGCCGGGCCGCGAGTGCGAGAGAGACGCGGCGACTGCTCCCCTTATTGTTCCCGTCTTTCGTCTTTACGGCCGTTTTTATGCCCACCGTTGGCTTTGTGCTCCGCGGCAGTGTAGGCCCCGCGGACGTCGCCGGCCGGCCGCGTCGTTAAAGGCGAAGCAGAGCGCGGCGAAGCGCGGCGGGGCGGGAAAAACGCGCCCGAATTAATAACGAGCAGGCTATGGGCCCGATCGAGTGGAACGCGGTGGGGCTTCTTCGCGGCGGTGTGGTCTGAGTGGATTACGCTCCGAGACGCGACCAGCCCTTTGGTGTTTGCCTGGGTGCAGGTCCCACAGTGTAGGGGTGTGCCTGCTGTCTCGAAAGCTGTGTGCAAGGGAAGTCCCACCTGTCGCATTGACTCTGCCTCTCTCGCACTCGTGGGGCGCCGTGCAGGGGTGCGAGAGAGAGGCAGCGACGCACAGTGGGCCAGAAGACCGGCGGAGGCGGCCAAAACTCTTGACGCGTTTTGAGCGCCTGAGTCGCTAAATGGGACTCGAACCGAACCCCCACCGAATGGATTCCTCGTTTCGGAGAGCAATCCATTAATTGGGTCACACGTTCGGTTCGAGTCCCATTTAACGACGCTGGAGCTCAAAACGCGTCTAGAGTTTTGGCCGCCTCCACCGGTCTTCTGGCCCACTGTGCGACGGGGGCAGTGTAGCGGGCGCCGGCCCGATGGGGAGTCTCCTTCCAGCCTTCCAGACTCCGAGACTGGTCCAGCGCGGGGCTGGCCGGCCGGGCTGCGGTGTGGTCCCCCCAATGTAGAAGTAGGATTCGAGCCGAGTGGGTAACTCCGGGAGCTGGCCGCGCCCGGTCGTGCCGGCGCCGTTCCGGCCGGGCCGGGCCGAGCCGGGTTGCGGTAGCACTGCAGGGCGCTATGGTCCGAGCAGGTCGGGCCTGGCCGGGCCCTGGACCACAAGGAGGAGGGGAGGAGGATGGGGCGCCTCTGGATTACAAATGTAATTTGTGGCGTTTGTGAGTTCCGCGCCTCGCCTCGCCTCGCTACCGCCATGGGAAGGCAGCAGGCCGGCCGGCAGACGGACGGCTGTCTCTCACGACCTCGGCGCTGCGGACGGACCGACGGACCGACGGACCGGGGCTTCGTTTGAACCAACTTCCCGATACACGGGGAATTATTTGGACAGGCATTCCTGTGGCTTATGGTCCTGTGGGAGACGGCTGCCTAGGCCCGGGCGGCCCCGCACGGTGGGCCAGAAGACCAGTGGAGGCGGCCAAAACTCTAGACGCGTTTTGTGCTCCAGAGTCGCTAAATGGGACTCGAACCGACCGTGTGACCCCACCAATGGATTCCTCGTTCGGACAGCAATCCATTGGTGGGGTCACACGTTCGGTTCAAGTTTCATTTAGCGGCTCTGGAGCTCAAAACGCGTCTGGAGTTTTGGCCGCCCCACCGGTCTTCTGGCCCACTGTGCCCCGCACCGCGAAGCCCCTCTGTGGGGCCTCCAGGGTGTTTGCGGAGCGCGGAGCTACCTTTTGAGGTTGTCTCCGGGGTGCCAGTGTTTGCCCAGGCCGTGGTGCGTGTGTGCCGGCAGTGCCGGGCTCTGGTCCCACAGGTCTCGAGTACAGTGTCCTGGTTGTGGTGCTGCGGTCCATTCTGACCCCCTGGACGCCAAAGAGCGGCCGCCTCGCCGGGGACCGGGGACCCCAACGCGCGGCTGATAACGCTATTTACCTTTGGCGGAGTGCCGATTGCCGATTCTACGCCATCCGCGCCTTTTTACTCAATTTTTAAACGGAGGAGGTTGACTTAATGAAACCGAGTGTGGAGCATGGAGAAGTAAACGCCGCGGTTTTCGGAGTGTACTGTGTGTGCGCTGGGCCGGGCGGGGCCGGGCGCTACGGGGCCCCGGCTACAGTTTCTAGGCGAGCCAACGGCGTCGTTGTGTTTCATGACTTGTGCTAGGACTGGGCCCCCAGCTGGAAATGACTCTGTTTGAATAAGGAGCACTGGGCCCTCCAGGCAGGCAGGCAGGGCAGGCAGCCAGCCTGCAGCGTGTTCGGGCCGCGGGGTGCCGCATTATTGAAATGAAGCAAAGCGCAGCGCTCCCCCTCGCGAGGCTAGCCTCTCGCATTGTACGCTCGTTGGAGGCTAGTTTGTGATACAGTGTGGGGCGCGGCGTGAGCGCTGCGTCGATTCCTCATTGAACTCGGCGGCCTCGACGCGGCCGACGCCCACGCCGTCGCGGCGGCCATGGCGGCCATGTAGGCGGGGCGGCCGCCCGGGGTAATCGGGGTGCTTCCTGCCGCCGCACAGTGGGCCAGAAGACCGGTGGAGGCGGACAAAATCCCGGACGCGTTTTGAGCTCCAGAGTCGCTAAATGGGACTCGAACCGAACGTGTGACCCCACCAATGGATTGCTCTCAGCGCGAGGAATCCATTGGTGGGGTCACACGTTCGGTTCGAGTCCCGTTTCGCGACTCAGGGGGCTCAAAACGCGTCTAGAGTTCTGGCCGCCGGCGTCGGTCTTCTGGCCCACTGTGCGCCGCCCGGATGGTGCGGGAGGGAGGTCGACGATGACCACCACGACGACGGGAAGGAGGAGGAGAAGAGATGTGCGCGGGGAAGAATATCGTATCAAAGTCTTTCACGTGAGCCAACAAACTACGGGCGCGTGAAGAATCGGTTGGACGGGGAGGGCCTTGACGATGACGGATGCCGCGCTCGCCTCCGCCCACCGCGCCACCCGCGACCCCCTCCCC